AGTTAGCAGTTACATAGTCCCACGTGGCTCTTTAATCATTCATACGTAAAATTCGCATGTGATTTCTTCCGACAAAGCGTAAAAACGTAATCATATAATGATAAAAAGTACTAATGGAAAAAAAAAGATGAAATTAAAAATTAAAATGAAGAAAGAGAGATGACTGTCGAAACGATTATCGAAAGAACTGTGCACGTGCGTTTATCTGCAACGCAATGGACGAGCACGTGTTGCTCGTACACTTACCAATTTCACCATCGACCGGTTTCTCCGCGCCGAAATGTCTCCCCGAGAAGACAGAACCATCTTCGAGCAAAAGATAAACGGTTTTAGTTGTATGATCAAGGACGGCCGCACGCTCGTGCATCTTTTCCAATAATTCACGGAGTACCGAGCGTGCTCTCGACCCGGTGAGTACTGCTCATAGTATGAGTAGATGATACGCTTTATAACCGAGAATGGAGTATTGCTAGTGCTTCTTAGGGATCGCTTCAGTCACAGCGCCACAGCAAAACGCAGTTCCAGTCGATAACGATGGGATCAAGCATGCACCGAGTATACTATGTACCTTTGCTGAACGAATATTATTATAGTTCCGCAAAGAAGCACCAACAACATTTAAATTCGAATATACACAAAATTTGACTTCCGAATGTTCCTGAATTCCTTACGCGTACTTAAGAAAATTAAAATGCCTATATTTAAGTGAAATCAAGAGCATCTAATTACGAAACAATTGAATTCTGCGAAGTGAACATTTTTGTATCAGACAAAGTAACTTGATTTCGCGAGGTACGTATTGAACTTGAACCTATCACTAGCGATGGGCGCCCAATTTGCTTTTTCTGCGCACAGTTCTCTGCTCATATCGTCACATGACCGATGCCGGTTCGATACATTAGCGCCACTTAAGAGAAACACTGTGCCATTTTTCGAAGGACTGAAAGAGTTTGTGTGAAGATAGAGGGAAAGGAAAGAGTGTTTCATTCACAGTGCGCTAATGAATTCGTTAGTGAAGCAATTTAATATATTTGTACTTTAGATATCAGGAATAGAAATCAGGTCAGAGGTCGAACTACTTGTGTGAGACACGTCGATTATGATGGACCTCTGGTGGCGGGTGCAGAAGAACAAACGCCATTTTATGGCACCTTATTAGATTTGAATTTAAAATGCACGCGTGTTGTTCGAATCTTTTCATGTCGGATTCGTTTCGTTAATTGTATACACAGTGACGGACATTATAGAAAGTTCAAAATTGTATATATGTGTGTGTGTGTGTATGAAACTTTTGTATTATATATTTTTTTTATCAATATTTTATTCTGCGATATACATTGTATCTATTCATTGCTCTTGTTAAATGTACTTCTTAAATTTTCTTCTGTCACTTTATAGTATTTCGAATATGTTTGCTAATGTTTTGGATTCTTTCAGCAATGTGAAGAATTTTCGATGGACAAATCTGTTTATCTTCGAATTAGTCTTTGTTCCTAGTTTTTCTGGATTCTATTCACTTTTT